CGTGCCCGCCGGGCTCTCGGCCGCCTGCGACATGCCCAGCAGGCGAGGCAGGCTCTCCAGGAAGACCTGGGCATGGGAAGGGGTGTTGTGTCCAAAGCAGAGCCACACCGCCTCATCCCCCACTTTTTGCCCTCAATGCAGCCCCTTGGAGTGGCACGGAGGGAACACCCTGATGTGAACTGGGGCTGCGCTGTCCTATGCCCTATGAGGGTCATGGTGCCACCCCTGTACCCACTGGTTTGCCTACCCCGGCCCAGCACCCCACTCACCTCTTTGACCCAGTCAGACATGATGTGGGTGCTGGGGGTGCGGAAATGGAAGTTGAGGACCACGACGCAGATCAGCACCACAGCCGTCACCAGCAGCATGATGAAAAGCAGGTACCTGTGGAGGGCACGGGCCTGGGCTGGCATTGCCGCAGGGACTGAGCACAGGCACAGCTGCCCTCTGGCATTACAGGGACCTCTCGGTGTCCCCACTACACCCAGCAGTGCCCAAGACTCACTTGTCGATAAGGGGGACGGCATGGGAGGTGGGGGGCAGGCGCTGGGAGATGAGCAGGAGGAAGACAGACTGGGCCAGGAGCACTGAGATCACCAGGGTCATCTTCTCACCACCTGGAGAGAAAGTGAGCTCAGGCAAACCCTGCTCCAGGCCCCTTCCCAGTGGGAATCCGGAAGGATTGCCCTTCCAGTGTCCCACCACACAGTGCCCCATGTATGGTTTTCTATTATGGGGGTACTCCAGGGTCCCACATAGAGTATCCTGTGACAAAGTGGGCCTCTGCCAGGGTGCCTGGCTGGGATTATGGTGTCCTACGTGGCAGTGTCTCAGTACCAGCATGTCCCTGTGCTGGGATGTGGAGGTGCCCCGTGGGGTGACACCAGCACCAGGAGCAGGTGCCGTGGGGCTCACTTACTGTCAGCAGGCAAGTAGAAGACGAGGATGACCATGAAGGCGATGAGGATGCAGGGGATGACAATATTGATGACATAGAAGAGCGGCTTGCGTTTGATGATGAGGTAGAAGGTGATGTCCTGGTGCTCGCTGCTGTCGAGGGGCTGGTCAGGGTGAATGTTCTTGCGGGCCGGGCGGTGGATGATTTCCCATTCCCCGTTCTCTGTTGGGACATAAGCGATAGTGCATAGCACAGGGACCCCTGCCCTGCCCATCCTTACCAGCCCCACCAACAGGTCTCCCTGTCCTAGGTCTGGGTAGCTCCAAGCTTGGTGGGATGGGTGCTAGGGTGCCAAAGCCCTGGGTATTCTGCTGTCTTCATGGCAGGGTGCTCCCAAGTCCCGTACAAGGTGTTCTGCTGCCACAGGCCATGGCAGAAAGCGAGTGTTACCTGTGAAGCCTTCAGGGTCAATGATGATCCACTCCACTGGGTAATCCTTGCCTGTACTCGGGTCATTGTCCTCCCTCAAATGCATGTTGATCTCCAGGGCACTGTAAGTCAGGGAACTGACCCATGGCCAGGGGGGACAGGAGGTGAGGGGCTGCACCTGCTGCTTGGTTCCCACCATTCACCCACCCCTACCTCCAGCACAGCGGACTTGGGCCACCAAATCACCTTCAAGCCCACACCTTGCTGCACCCCAACAGCAAGGGAAGGTGCTGGCAGCAGTGGGCATCACAGGAGGCTGGGATGCCCACCCTGTTGCCCACCCGTGCCCCGCCCCAGCCAGCTCCCTGGCACCTGAATTTGAGGGTGCAATTCTGCCAATCGAAGGGGAAGAAGTCGACGTTGATGGGCTTGGGCCACCAAATCACCTTCAAGCCCACACCTTGCTGCACCCCAACAGCAAGGGAAGGTGCTGGCAGCAGTGGGCATCACAGGAGGCTGGGATGCCCACCCTGTTGCCCACCCGTGCCCCGCCCCAGCCAGCTCCCTGGCACCTGAATTTGAGGGTGCAATTCTGCCAATCGAAGGGGAAGAAGTCGACGTTGATGGGGCAGGCGCTGCGGAAGATGGCGGGTTGGCAGCCAGTAGACGCTGCCCGTGTCGTAGATGAGGACGTTGCAGTAGTAGGCGACCTCAAAGAGCCCGTCATTGCTGCGCCGGAAGAGAAACAAGGTGAGGGTGGGGCTAGCGAGGGGCAGGTGGAGCCTTGGGGACATGCCAGGCACAGCTCAGGGGGCTAGGGAGAGGAAGCTGAGGCATGGCTCACTTGTTCTCCAGGACTATCTCGGGTAGCCACAGCATGTCGGCTGGTAGGCGCAGCACTTCGATGTCCCCAAACTCGGACTTGTTCCACTGCAGGCGGTAATCGGTCCAGCTCTGGAGGAGAGGATCCCCAGGTCACCCCCTTGCCACACTGGAGCACCCTGTTGCCCAAGCCTCGGGCTTGCCATCACACCGTGATGCCTGTCCCTACTCACGTGCTCGAGCCATACGTTGCTGGTGAGCGTCTCGTCCACCTCTTTCTGTAATGAGAGTGAGGGGCAGTGAGATGCCATGGCCATGCCCAGCAGCTGTCCCACCCAGCTCGGGACCCCCAGCCCTCACCAGCCAGTTTCAGGGCAGCAGCCTCAGGACTCCTCCCACCCAGCCAGCCCTGGGTGGTAAGGCATGGCTGGGGGCATCCCATGGTCCCAGCTCACCAGTGAGATGAGGTTGGAGAGGGTGAGAGCTAGGTAGACGTCCACGACCTGATCAGTGGAGACGACGGGGCGCACCTCTTTATCGTAGCCCCTCTCCTTAAAGAGGTGGTGGATGAGCCGCTCCTCCTGGTTCACGCAGAGCCCGCCTGGAGGGGTGGGGTCAAGCAAACTGGGGTGAGCTGGGGGGGTCACTGGGCCCAGTGCCACCTCTTAGGGACGCTTGGAGAGGGCAGAGTGGCATAAAGATGGAGGGGACAGGAGCAGGCCAGGACACTGCAAGTCTGTGCCGCACAGGGCATGGACACGGGACATGTGGAAATGATGGATGTGGGGGCATATGGGCACACAGGGGCACAGGGCAAGGACAGAGAGGGACACACACAGACCCAGCACACACAGGGGCACGGGACACTTGGGTACAGACACGGTGGCACTGTGCACACGGGTGGATGCAGACACAGAGGCACACGTGGACATGGACTCAGTATATGCAGGGACTCCTGGTCGTAGAAGCAGTGTCACTGCACGCACACAGACACGGTGACACTGTACAGAAATGGACACACAGACACGGTGACACTGTACACAGGCAGACACACACACGCTGCCCAGGCAGGGGCACGGCTCTGTGTGTCACAGTCAGGGCAGCAATGCAGGGCACGCTCAGTGATGGTGCTCTGCCAGGCAACACCCAAAATGCAGCCCTGGGGACACCTGTGTCCAGGTGAGACCCTGCCATCATCACCCCACACCAGCTCCACCAGGGGGGCCCAGAAACCCCCCAGCAACGAGACAACCCCATTCCCGAGACCCTAGGCCCCCACTCACCCGACAGCATCAGTGCCCCGAGCAGGGCCAGCCACCCCAGCAGGTCCCCCATGAGTGCCCACGACGGTGCCCTCGTGCCGTGCCAGGTCCTGGCCACCTCCCCGCCCGGCCTGGCCGAGCGGATGTCCGGCCGCCAGCCAGAGCAGGAGATGGATGGTGCCAGGTGCCGAGGGGGAAGGGTGCCGGCACCAGATACCCGCTCCCGCCCCTCTCTTCCGGCACCGCAGTGCCCGGAGGAGAGGAGAGGAGACAGGCAGGGACAGCTGGCATCAGCCCATCACCCCGCCTCTGGCCA